CGTCCATCGACATTTTTTATATGATAAGGGTGACAAACCTGATGGTAAGTGGTTGCTGCGGCCCATAGACATCTACATCTATCCTCTATTACAAATCAAAATGCAGATGCGTTGTCACCCGTGAGGGCTAAGATGGAATGCCTCATTTCCAGTAAAAAGGGTCTCCGGTTCTCTACACTCAACATACGAAACACAGCAGCGTTAAGCTGCTATTTTACGCTGGTATTCTGCGAGAGCGTGGTCCTTTCCCGGTCGAGCCGACCCATTCGTGCTACAACTATACTATTAATATAGCTGCAGCATGGCTCGTTTTAGATATTTATAAATTATTGGTATTATTAGAAATATAAAATCTATTGTTTAGTTATCCAATTAATAGTAATATAGTTATTCATAATTGAACTATTTTGTAATCCAATTATCTGTCAATCGTGAGGGAAAAAGATACATATATTATTCGGCAAAATAATATGTCTCCATTTCGTTTAATTACTTCGTTTTTACACGCTTTATTAACTTGACCTATGTGAACGTTATAGAAAATGTTATTGTAGCTTTTACCCATTTCTAGGCATGTGTAATTTCTGAAATTTTGCAAACATATTAAGAACCGATGACAATACAATAATTTTAGAACAATAATGTAGCGTCCTTACAAGAGTCATCAGAACACATGATCAATGCGTATTGTTTAAGTTTTTTCAACGTGGAGTAATGGCTTGGCATTGAGTTGCAGCGCCGGGGACCACGGGCTCGAATTCACCGCGGAACAAGTATTTGTATGGCCTAAAAATAAGAGTTTTGTGCCAGGATGTCGGTCCTTGTGCAATTTATTTATGTTATTTGCCACCATGATAAAGGAGTTAATCGCGAGGCTTTTTTAATTTATATTGGTTTACAATATAGCTTAGCCAATGACCAATACCAATAACCAACAATTAAGCTATTGTCTAAATAATAAAGCACTATAGCAGGCTAGTAAATCTTAATAGACGATAAAATATTCTACGAAAAATACCGGGGTAGGACAACGCTCTCACAGAATAACAGCGTGAAATAGCAGCTTAATGCTGCTATGCTTTGTATGGTGAGTAGAATGCCGGAAACCATTTTAACTGAAACGAATGGAACAATCACCCTATGTGGCTTTTTAAAATAATTTTATTAACATTAATGGTAAAATAAAGTGAAATGAAAAATATTTTATCTACAATATCAAACATTCATACAATCGTTGCCAAAGAGAAAACTCAGATCGAATATAATATCGTAACACATTCATCCACAAATAATACAAATAGATAAAATTGTCTGTGTAAGAATCCCGAAATGCGATAAGCAAAAGTAGGTAATGGAATAAGGGCGTACGTAAAATAATTTCGTCAACGAAACCGAATTTGAATTATTTCCTTTGTTAACAACGCCGTGTATTGTACTTACATTTTATTAAAGTAGGAAAAAAACTTCAGGCTTGTGGCCTACCTCGTACCTCCGCGCGGTTATGCCTTACCGTATCACACAAATATGCCAAGCAAATATTTTGTACTCCTTTTGATACTAAGCCCGATGGCGCACACATGCCCGCCTGCCTAATTGGGAATTAAAACAAGAAGTTTAACAAAATCAGATTAAACGTCCTTTATTTTCCAAAAATGTATCGGAAGGGTTTTCTATAATCAGATTAGGTTTCGAAGAAACAAAAACTTGGTAATGATCTATTTATAATCTTTATTTATTTTGGAAGGAAATCAACAAAACTAGCACAAACGAGATGATTAAACTTCCGTCTATCGGAAGGACGAAATAGGTGATTGATACTACCACTATATGGCATATATATAACATATAACATAATATACGTAACTACATAATCATAAATTACAATCATAAATTGTTAATACGAGTACATCCAACCCTTTGTCATGTCTAAGCATTCTAGCTAATTCTATAATTTAAATAACGAATATTGAAATTATAGATTTGAAATGAAATAAATGTATTTCTTTAAAGTAAGAAAATAAAATTTAATTTGTTAAATATAATTATTTTCACATGAGAATAAACGTGAAGTCTTTTTCTTAAATTATTTTAACCTTGTTTGGGATTAAATAAAATAGCTTTGTTCCTCAAAATAAGAAACACTCCCTAACTTCGCCTAAAATGTCTTTGACATTTTCAGAGTTGGGATATCGCCAGCTGTGCGTAGTGGCTTGAGAGAAACAGTTAACTTGTTTTATACTTTGATCTCGATTGTATACATCAGTAAGCTATATTTATTTTCATCTTTGCCTTTAAAGTGTTCCAATTTGATATAAGTTATCCATACTTTTTGTTTTTTTATTTGATCAGAAACAATATTAATAATTAAGTATAATAAGCATTTTTACACATAAAAATATGTAGAAAATGTTAAACAAAAGATATTAAACAAAATGTATTATGTCATATAAACATATAATAATAAAGGATCATAATTTTTTTCGGCAGCACGTTATTTTGTTTTTGTTATTGTCATCAATGAAATGATGTTATGAACTAACAAGATTACGTTATGAACTTGCGTAATCACATGTACACCTAAGCATAAATTTAAGTTAAAACAAATGCGTTTTGCGTTTGCGAGTACACTTTTTACTGTCAAAAATAAATATACTAATCATAACTTAAAAACAATATTTTTCTTTATTATTTTAAGCCAGTACTTGACTACTATCCCACCTGATGGTAAGTGGTGATGCAGCAGAAGGTGGTTAAGCGCACTGACTTAACAAAAGCCTACCTATTCACTCCTGAGTTGAAGACACCCACATTATAATCGGTTGGATAGACTCGCTGTACGTAAAATATATATAAAGATAACTTCGAAATGGTTCAGAGGTTGTTACTGTCGTTAAAAAGGTAAAGGTATAAAATATTCAGACCGCCGGAAAGAAGGGTAAGAGGTCTAAGAACTCTGCTCACATTAGTGTAACAATTATGGCAGTCCTCGCCTACATCCCCTACTATAGGCGAGACGTATGCAGTACAGCAATTGCAACAAAAAACATGTTGTTTGGGAACCGTAGTGACTCAGGTTTAATAGAAAACTCAATAAGTCTACTAGACCCACAAATAGGGTGCTTCATACATAATAAGGAGAATTATCGTTAAAATTGAAAAAATGGGAGTTTTCGTAAAATACCTACGGAAATACTTATTAAATACTTGCAAAATCATGCTAATTACTTATTGCATTCCTTAAGCGCAAAGCGCGTAGGTATGTTCTACTAGCGCCTAAAATTCAAGATTCCAATTAATAATTGCTATTTTTACATTAAAAAAGTGGTTTTAGTGGTTTAGTGTAGGTTTCAAGTCCGCATGGAGTGGTAAACACGAGAGCTTTTGAAAATATCAGTTGTTTAAGTCAATTTATTTTTAATCTCTTCATCTATCATGTGGGAAGTCATGGAATGTAAATGGCAGTTTAATTTTCTTTAGTTTAGTTATAATTAATTTTTTTCGGTTGCGAAATCTCGAAATTTTCGATGTCTGCTAGCCTTGTATTAATTTATTTACTAAATACACTTTGCTCTGGCTTACTACCGCTCGGCCGCCATCGTGAGTGAATTTCTATATCATATGCTTACAGCTGCGGTAATATGCAGCAAAAATATCGATCGCTGTAGAAATACAAAATATTTCAAAAACCAAATTTGATAATAAACATTAAATATTAAATAAAGATAATAAACCTTGGTGAAGTATGTCACCAAGGTTTATTATTTTTATAATCACAGATTTTTATTATAATATTTTGTCGCTAAAAGTACGTAGGATTTATATATAAATATACTTATACATACGTACCGACAGTTGAAGTGTAGGGCGTCCCTCCACTAGATGGAGTGCCGACCTGGTAAGACATGCAGGAAGTCAATGTATGCAGGTGGCTCGAGACCGTGATTTGTGCCATTCCTTGGGGGAGGCCTATGTTCAGCAGTGGACTTGTGAAGAAATGTAATGATGATAATGATGATGATACGTTTTGGACTTTCTGGTTATCGTTTACGGTACGGTAAATATGGTTTACGGTAATCTGAATGTGTACTTCGGTGAATGCTACTGTAACTCCTCGAATAGTAGAACTAGGTATTCCGAGTTTGGCCTCGTTTTGTTAGTAATGACAAGACCTTATCCGGACTTGATAGAATGATCTGAAGGTGTACTTCGGTGAATGCTACTGGAACTCCTCGAAGAGTAGGACACCTAGTCCTAGCGCCGAGCCTTGGCCTCATTTTGTTATTTATGATGAGACCTTACCTCCGGACTTGATGAAGTGATTTGAAGGTGTACTTCGGTAACTGCTACTGGAAATCTTTGACAAATAGAATTACAATTTACATTTTTTTAATTTTTTCACAATCATGTGAGCATTATCAATCGTGCACTTTTGGATTTTCCAAGCTCTTTTTTAAATTGAAATTTGATATAAAATTATCGGAAAATCGGAAGTATAGTAATAATTGCTTAAGGCATGCACAATGGGATTTACCAATAGTTTTTTTACCACTATTTCTGCGCTTTTATATAATATGTTTTAAATACAAAAGATCTCATTCATCAAGTTTTGCCTGAAAGAGATCGCTGTTTAGCGATAAGGTCACTAATTGTAATTGATCGGCAAACTGTACATATATATATATATATATATATATATATATATATATATATATATATATATATATATATTATATATATATATATATATATATATATATTAAAATTATATATATATATATATTAAATTAAAATATATATTAAAATTTGTGCAATAAAGACTATAAATAAAATAAAATATTCTTTGTATACTTAAACGAATCACAGAGTAGTCTATTTAAATTCACCTGTACCCACAAAATAGACTTCACGAGAAATTATATGTATATATGATTTGAACAGACGTCTCTCTTTATATGCAAAACTTATGGTGCGAAAATTCACAATATTTTATTTGTCAACAGCTGACATCGGAAAGTGTGAAGTACCACTTGGTATGGAAAATGGGATGATTTCCAACGAGTCCCTGTCCGCTAGTTCCAGTTACGACCAAAGTGTATCCCCGCTCAGTTCAAGGTAAGCCGATAACTTAATCCTTACTTGTCCTTATTCCAGTAGCTTTTAGATTGTAACGAATAATGCTCATCTAAAAAAAAATGTTATAACCTACATAATAAGGGTGGCAAACGAGCACACAGTTCACCTTTTTTTTACTTATTATAAGCCAGTGCTTGACCACAATCCCGCCTGGTGGTAAGTGGTGATGCAGCCTTAGATGGTAAATCGCACTGTCTTATCGTAACAAAAGCCTATTAACTCTTGCCTTGAAGACGCCCAGATTGTATTCGGACGGAAAGATGTAGGCCGACAAATTATTCCACTCCTTTGCTGTACGCATGACAAGAGACGAAGGAAACCATTTGGTTCTAATGCGTGGAATATCGACAACAAAGGGATGAAGACTCGCCGACCGCCTGGTTGTCCGATGGTGGAAAGGAGAGGGAGGAATTAAGCGTGTAACTCCTGCGCACACTCACCGAAATGCATCCTATAGGATACTGAGAGACTGGCTACTCTGCGTCTGTGCTCGAGGCTGACAAGACTGGTTTCAACCAAATCAAGGTCACCAATGAGCCTCTTAGCACGTCTCTGCACTGAGTTCAATGCTGCTAGGTGGCATTTTGCAGCACCAGCCCATATGTGACAGCAGTGTTCCATGCACGACCGATCTTGCGCTTTATATAAGGTAAGAAACTGCCCCGGCGTGAAGTACCGCCGCACCCTTGCAAGGACACCAAGTTTCCTTGCGGCTGCTTTAGAGAAAATTCAATCTCTAACAACTGAAGGCGGTCAGTGTACTCCAAGGATACATTCCGGAAAGTAGTAGCCAAGGTGAGCGGGCTCCTTTCAGCGGTTAAAAGACACGCTTGTGTTTTGGAGGTGTTAAATCTCACGAGATTGGCATCGCCCCATTTGGAGACTGCCTGTAGTGTGAGGCTCACACACTCAACCATAGCCTCTCTTTCCGACTGGATTTGATCCCGACTGGCCCAGGCACTTGGTTGGTATCTCTCCACAACTGTGCTGTCGTCTGCATAACCATAGATACCGGGAATGAGCAGATCATTTATATGCAACAGGAAGGGAGTTGCAGAGAGAACAGACCCCTGAGGATTACCGGCGTTAGTCGCCACAGTACCGAATGAGCAGCCATCGAAAACGACCCGGAGAGATCGTTCACTCAAAAAGTCCTTCACCCAGGCAATCAGGCCAGGGGATAAGCCGTACGCTGAAAGCTTGCCCAATATATTAGCGTGCAAAACCCCGTAAAAGGCCTTCGAAACATCGAGGGAAACAGCAAGTGCTTCACCACTGTTCTCGAGGACTTCGCCCCATATGTGAGTGGCATACGCTAGAAGGTCCCCAGTTGATTGATTTTGGCGAAATCCGTACTGGCGATTACTGAGGAGATCATTTTGCTCTAGGTATGCCATGAGGTGGGCGTTCAATATGCTACATAATCTTGCAAAGCATGGAGGTTTGAAATTGGCCGATAGTTGGCAAGGTCGGTACGGCTATCTTTTTTAGCCACAGGCTGCAAATTGGCCAGCTTTAAAGATTTGGGCACTATTCCAGTCCTGAATGAGAGGCGGAACAAGCATGTCAACAAAGGAGACAACTCAGGTGCACAAGCCTTTAGAACTATAGCTGGTATACCATCAGCTCCATCAGCTTTGTTCATGTCTAGACTTCGCAAGGTTTTAAGAACTTCCTTGTTGGTGATACGGACCTCTGTCATAAAGGTACCGCACTGAGGTAATTGAGATGGTACGCAGTTATACGCTACTTCCCCGACGCGAATTGCAAGCAAAAAGAAAAGCAAATAAGTCCGCTTTCTCCTTAGGTGCATACGCCAGTGAGCCATCTGGTTTTACCAGCGGAGGTAGTGGGCACGTAAACAAAGGGGATGAAATACTCCATTGCTTGACGTATCACATAGGTTATGGCATCCGCGCAAATCGACGGGTCTTCAGAGGAGAAGCATACCTGCCGCCAAGGATAAGATGCAAAGAAATGCCGCATCTCAACTCAATCTGCTGACTTGTATCGCCACATTCGTCGCACTCCATGGAAATCGTAGTTAGGTGAGGAATATAGCGACACAGATTTCACCAGACAGTGGTCAAAAGTTCCCAGGGGTGAGGTAACCTGAACATCGTACCTGTCTGGATCGGTCGTCAGCAGAAGGTCAAGGCAATTGGCTGTGTGCCCATTCACATCAAGTACCCTAGTCGCTTGTTGTACCAGCTGGGAGAGCCCCAGCGACAAGGCGAAAATTCCACGCCTCTCTCACAGCGTGGTCGGTCTTTTGGTATAGGAACAGCCAGTCCTGATAACAGGCATTAAAGTCCCCCAAAAAACTAACTGTGCATTAGGGTACCGATTTAGAGCCACATCAGAGGCTTCACTGAGGTGTTCAAACAACCTAGTTGTCTCCTATTCACCACTGTGCGATCGGTAGACACAAGAATAAATAATTTTATTCATTCCTGTGTCTATCAATACCCAGATCATAGAGAAAGAGGGGTCTTCAAGGTGATGGAGACGCTCACAGCAGATGTCGTTGCGGAAGTAAACACAGACTCCGGCGCGCGTATGGAAATTATGCTCCAATGTGTACCCAGGGTAGTCAAGGTACGCCGCATCTAGAGGACATCTAATCTGCGTCTCAGTTAAGAAGAGTAGGTGCGGCTTGTCAATCTCAAGGTGGTATTGGACTGTATTGAGATTACAGTGCAGGCCCCGGATATTTGTGAGGTGCACTTTAATGGAGAGGGAGTGCAACAGCTGATGGTAGGTGGACGCTGTGTCCCATACACATATACATTTACTGTCGATTAAGAATCAAAATGCAGATGCGTTGAGAGCTAAGATGGAAAACCTCGTTTCCCGTAAAAATGGTCTCCGATTCTCTACACTCACCATGCGAAACAATGCTGTTTTAGCTGCTATTGTACATCCTACCCCGTTCGAGCCGGCACATTCGTTTTACAGCCATAATATAGCTTCAGCGTGGCTATACCACGTAAATATATATATATATATATATATATATATATATATATATATATATATATATATATATATATATATATATCACGTTATCACCCCTTAAAACTAACACTGAATTTATCTTTCACGTAGTTTTATCACAGTTGCCCCGTGGCTGTAACACGTGGGCTCTATGTTATGGGCATATCAATACATAGTGGGGACTAAATCCCTCAGACTTGAAGGTCAAGCAAAAATACAAGAATAAATTATCAAAATCTATGATGGGATCTGAAATGCAATTTTTTATTTAAAAACAAGTTAGATAAACGAGGCACATTCAGTCTGATGATAAGTGGATACTGAGGGTCGTAGAATACGTTGCACCGTGATTCTATCACGTGTTAGCTTGTCATGATAGAATATAATATAGTAAAAGTTCCCAAACACCCGCCTTATTTTACGTATTTTTTTTTTATTTTAAGCAACACATGATATGTGGCCTCACTCAGAGATCATAAAAATGTACAGGGAATATAAAATTGAAACGTCCATAATTCCCTGGTGAAATTTATGTTTTTCGTACTGTTTGGCCTGTTTCTACATAAAGAGTTTTCAGTAAAATATATTATGACCATTACAGATTCAGTAACCGCACTGCGTTTACTGCACATCCATGTAGACGTTACAACAATTACTGTTCAGATATGGTAAAGTTGTTGCAATAATTGTGAATCCCGCAACCACAACGCAGATACTTAGCTCCAACAAGGGGTTTCACATTCGGGCCTTAAGCCCGCATAAGCTCGATACGAGACAATAGAGCGCTAACTCGACGCTCGTTTGAGAAATTCAGCAACGGAAAATTAAATTTTCATATGAATTCGGGGTGATTGTGATCCTACAAAAGCCTTTCAAGACTTGAATACCAAAAGATAACAAGACAAGTATATATGTATAGTGCTAATGTTTATCATTATTTTGCTTTACAAATGGTCAAAGGTATTTAAGCAAACGGTACCTTAATTCGGATTTAAGCGCACGTAGTTCCCGCCGCACCTGCGATAAGATTACGCTACCGATATTCTAATCCAATGACCGTCAAGTCTACTCACCATATCTGTTGTCAAACGAAATACTGGACCAGGATTGATCGTTGTCTAACACACCCATCAATTTATGTTTTCTTTTTTTTTTCAATGAATAACTTACATATTTTCCGTTGCAACACCTTTTAAATCCTCAATTCATTTTGTCTGCAGGGTACGTACTGAAATACGCGGTGGCGCTTGGTGCCCTAATGGTTTAATCACATCCAGTAGCCGTCAATACCTGGAAATAGACCTGCACGACGAATACTTAATCTCCGCCACCGAGTCTCAAGGACGATTTGCTAACTCGATCGGAGTCGAATTCGTGGAAAGCTACTTTGTGGAATATTGGCGTGCCGCTCTTAAGGGTTGGGTGAAATACAAAGACTTTAATGGAAGTCATGTAAGTATCGACTACGCTTTACAAGATCTAAATAGCTCTACACAATTGCAAAGAGTTAAAAAAACAGATTTAAATTTTAAAATTTTAAATTAAAACGTTATGAATAGCTGAAATACATTTTACATAATTTTAATACCAATTTCAATCATGTTACTGTTATTTCGGCATGAATGCTTAATTTGTAAAGATGAAAGCATTATTTCCACTGAGATAAATACGATATCATCTTGCCGGCTGTCAAATTCACTAAGCCCTTTCTAAAATTTGAACAAGCCAACAATTGGTAAGCAAAATGCTGCAAGATGAACGGCTAACACTCGTGTCTAATACAATACAATCATGAATCTAAGTTCAAAAGCAAACTGTGTTTTATCTTCTGAAAGTGTGCCAGGACGCTTAGCTTTTTGACAGACACAAAGCGCTTATCAAAGATCGAACTACAGATACTTGATTAGTTGCCAGCAAGTTAAACAACTTCACCTTTGATGTAGCATATTTTTGCTTTGATCAGTCTCTGAATAATTTTAAAAATGTCTACAAGAGCGAAAATTAATTTCAGTTGTTTGATATAAATTAACAAAATTATTTTTGAGCAAACTGTCTAAGTTTGCTTTTAATGATGGCATTATTTTGTTAATTTTAATAAACCATTTGTATTTTAAATACTTACGATTCCTAGACGTGTAGAGGAAAATCAAATATTTAAAGTTTCTTGTTTATAATTGAATGACGATGCCAATTTTACTTGCTAAATGGTTCAGTTATGATGATCAACGATTATGGTGACTATAACGATATGTAAATGTTTTCAGAAGTTATAGGCTGTGTAGGCATAATAAAAGTGATACATAGCACTAACATAAATTCTCTCACTCATCTGAACGTCCCGAATCTGAAGTAATAATATGTTTGCGATAGGAAAAAACAAGGCACGGTCACAACCCTATCCGAAAATCAATGATGCGCCATAAATTTTATTTAACATAAAAAATTAAGGGCTTATATGACAGGCCACGCAAAAAGTTTTGCGAAAAGCTTTTTTATATTGAGATACTGGCCAGTTATAATTTATTTTGAAAATACAATAATTTACAAGTAAACATACGATTGTTTTAATTTAATTTTTTTTTATTTTTCCACATTTTTTCACAAGATAAATTGAAATATCGTGTTTCATTGAAAAATGGATCTGCGTTAGAAAAATTTTTGGCGCGATGATTTTTTACGATTTCAAATGTCATCTTAAACCGTTCGAATCGTTTAATAGACTTCAATGACGTTTATGTATAAAGTACCTACTAAGACCGCTTTTATAACAAATTTTATCATAGTTAACTAAATGAGACATGAAGAGAGAAATGTTGAAAGAAGAAAGAAGTTGCGAAAAATTTAAATGAAATGAACAGACGAAATCCATATGACGCGATTCAGCAGATTGGAGCAGGAAATATTCACGAGATTTAACACTCCTTAGAACTCGTTCGCCTGAGGAAGATAGTTTTACTTTGGGTACTTCAGAAGCAGGCCCGTGTGGAATGGTGTCGTGACATGATTACATAATTTGTTGCAGACTCGTCTCAGCGTGTTTACGACATTATAACAGCTGACGAATCTTGAATTTATTAATTAATACGACCCAGAAACGAAGTGCCTGTTGAGTTCAAAATGAACCAACACCAAACGAATTTAAGGTTTCGGTCACTTGTTTTTTTCACTTTGGCCGAACATGGGGTTCCACGGGCTGCAGTCAAAATCATGACAACGAGCCCGTGCACTCAGCGCTCAAAGCGAGGGACTTCCTGTACAGTCCTGGATTCGCACCGTGTCACTTCTTTTTATTCTTTAAAACAAATCAACTGAAAGATTTTATCACCATAAAATGGGCCAGCAGCAGCAAATGTAGACAGCTTAAAACGTGTCTGAAGACTGGAAAAAGTGTTTTGAAAATTATTTTAGACGCATGAAACTTTGTATAGACACTCGTAGAGATTTATATAAAAAGATTTAATAATAATAACTTTTACCATAGAACTTTTTTAGCTCGCAAAACTTTCTGTGTCCCACGTACAGTACCGATTACTTATCACTTATACTCGTATGTAAAATATTTGACGAAGTTATTCGATTTTGTTTTGCTTAAAAACTTCAATTAAATGTGTCCAACTTTACAAAAGAACTGTGTCATATTTAAGTACTAGATTTTCATTGCATTAGGTTACTACAACTATTCTACGAAATGCCGTTAAAACTCACCTGTCTGTGCTTTCTATTACCCAATTTAGAAAATGTTGATATTCAAATTTAGAATTTTTGAATAACATTTTTTATGTTTAAGTCCTATTTCAGTTACTCTTTATGCCTTTAAAAATTCTGTTTATAAGAATAATGGTGCATATTTTGCAAAGAAGTTAAATCCGAATGTTATTTGTATACGAGACCAGCGACATACCAGCTACTTTAACTACTTGGCCGGTATCGTAGTATGAAAATTACACAAACTTTTCCCATTCCAATTTTAACAATCACATTTTGAATAAATGCAAATACACGTTACTAAGGCGCCCTAACTATTCCTAGTAGGTAAGAACATAGATTACGGAGTTTGAGAGGTCGACTTGCAAAGACGATGCTCGTCTTACTTGAAATTAGTCCCATTGCGGCATGAAACCTGACGCTGTAGTTGAATGATACAAGCGCCTTATGGATAATTACACTTTTTGGGGTTCCGTACCTCAAAAGGAAAAAACGGAACCCTTATAGGATCACTTTGTTGTCCGTCTGTCTGTCTGTCTGTAAAGACCCTTTTTCTCAGGAACGCGTGGAGGTATCAAGCTGAAATTCATATCAAGTCCCTTGGAGTTGTAAAAAAATCAAAGTTCTAAGCCAACGATATCAAAATATACAGCCGTTTATGCCGCAAAAATTTTCGACATTCGCAAGGAAATCAAAACTTACAGGGTACTTCCCGTGAACTCAGAATCTTAAAATTTGGTACCAAGCAACGTATTATAGCACAAATAAAGGAAAAATTGCGAAAAGAATAAATTTTTAGTTACATCATATAATAAAAATATTTTTAATAATTTTAAAATACCTACGGATTTGTTCGGAACCCTCGGTGCGCGAGTCCGACTCGCACTTTGCCGGTTTTTTTATAGGATATGGGTGAAAAGCGAGCACACATTCGACCTGATGATAAGTGGTCATCTGTCCTCGTTTGCTAATCAAAATGCAGATGCGTTGTCAGCCGCGTGGACTAAGATGGAATGCCTCTTTTCCAGTAAAAAGGTTCACCGGTTCTCTACACTCACCATACGAAACACAGCAGCATTAATCTGCTATTTACGCTGATATTCTGTGAGAGCGTGGCCCTTCCCCGGTCGAGCCGACCCATTTGTGCTACAACTATACAATTAATATAGCTGCAGCATGGTTCTACCACGTAAGACACATTAATATCATTGATTTCTATGCACTAATATTTTAAGAATCGTTTAATAGATATATACTTTTGTACAGTCAACGTCGGATAGAAGGAAGCATTCAAGATGTTCAAAAATTTTGGAACATCTAAAGTCATCAATTTAATTTAAACATCCAAAGTAGGCAAATTCTTGAGATCACCCATCTTGTTCAACTTTAGGTACAGAAAAAACCGTATGTACTTAAGACCTCATTGTATCGATTGCGTATATTTTTTACTCCTTAGGCTTTTGTAGGAAGTTTTCGCTGTACATAATTATTACAACTTGCTAAAACAATTAACGAGAAATCACTTTTTGCAATGTTTTACATTTATTTATTATTAAATTTTGAAGTTATAATTCTTTAACAGCGTTCTGGATATATTGAATTAAAGCTACGCCAACTATCATCAGTCTTTTGGAAACAAAGAAAATGAACTTGGCATAAATAATTTGATTGTGATAGCTGCATTCGTCACAAATTATAACAGCATGATAATTATTCTAATTCATTATAATTTTACACAAAAGGCGATTAAATATGGAAACACTAATAAGAGCTATAGAAAATGAAGGTCATAAGTTTGTCGGTCCTTTTTTTATGAAAAATTTTTGCTATAAATTACTGTATTCCATGGAATTCTTTATGGCGTATGGGGTAGCGTCCTCATTTTTAGTTATATACATTGAAATAGAACAGATCACCGCAATCATGAAGGTCAACTTATGCTACAGTTATTACTGTCACATATAATTCTTGAAGAAAATCCTTTACTTTAACTAACATCATCTTGAAATGCATATAAACGTTGTAATTATAAAAGAAATCATTTTCATGTAAATTCAAAATTAGCTACTAATATGTAGCGAAAGTATAACTTACAAAATGCACTGTTGCGTTCTACCGTTAATCGTAACATAAGTTCCATTAACCCAAGAGATCCTGCCGCATCCAGGATCAGGATCTTGGGAAAAAACGTACTATTTTTTTAACTTTTTCTGTTTTCAAGAATCCTCTTAACTAAAACAATTTTTTCAGCTTATCCCCGGCAACTATAATACATACACACCTAAGAAGACAAACTTAGAAGCTCCGTTTATTGCATCCAAAGTACGATTTTTCCCATACGCTGCGCACCCTAGGACGACGTGCATGAGAGTCGAGCTCTACGGCTGCCGCTGGAAACGTAGGTACAACAGAGATAAGGTTTTTTATTGCTGGCGATGTCCCGGGGCTGTTGCTTTGCGACCTGCTTGTGCGACTATATTATTGAAATGATTTTTAAGCGTGCACTTGCGTTGCGATTGAAAGCCGCCGCTAGGCGGTATATTCATAAGTACTATATTTCTACAGAGGCTATTGTTGCATACTCCGCACCTAAGGGCGGCGATATGCAGGCAATGACTGGTGGAGCTCGATTCGAAGATCTATCTTATGATGGTGCTAAGCAAGGAAGACGGATGTTGAACGGGTTGGGTCAAATTACCGATTCACTTACTGGCCCGAATGATTTTGAATTACCAGATCCTAACGATACCAGAGGTAACAAGATACCACAGTTTTATTATTTCACGATTGACATTTTCCCCTAATTGATATTTGTACACATTAGATAGCTAAAAATTAATTAATTACAAGCTAAAATAACTTTTTAAGTATTCACGAAATTTCAGGTAGTCGCTGGGTTGGCTGGAACAAGTCGATGCTGGTTGATGATGAAATTGAATTGACATTTAACTTTACTGACACTAGGCTTTTGCAATTTGTCGATATTCATACTAATAACATGTTCACCAAAGATGTGCAGGTAAGTTTTTTTTTAAACATTTACATTAGATAAAATAGTTTTCTTGCAGCTACCCATGTATGCAGGATTATATATATAGACATATATAGTGTATACCTAGGTATATACAACTGTATTGTAGTAGTAATCTTATTTAATAACGTAATGTAACTAAAAACATAGTTTTTAATTAACTTGCTAAAAATGCTTTCTAAATTTAGTAACGGAACGTATTGGCTTAAGAATTCGCAACGTGATTTTTGCCTTTAGTAAGCTCAGCGACCGTAACATGCTACAGTGTTACCGCTGCAGGCGGCTGCATGTTGCATTTGCTCGAATTTTTATTACCGAAGTAATTTTCATCCGAGTCCGTTACTACAAAATGTTAATGTAGCTTCGTGAAATTTCTATTTTAACTTAACTTTTAAATCACTATACTCTATGCGTATATTTGTACTCATTTTGACCATTAGAATTGTGGAGTATCCACGATTTTTTTATAGGATAAGGGTGACAAACGAGCACATAGTCCACCTGGTGGTAAATAGTACTGTGACCCATAGACATCTACGTCTATCCTCGATTACATATCAAAATGCAGATGCGTTGTCTCCGTGGAGGACTAAGATGGAATGCCTCGTTTCCAGTAAAAAGTGTATCCAATTCTCTGCACTCACCATATGAAACACAGCAGCATAAAGCTGCTGTTTTACGCTCGTATTTTATGAGGTCGTACCCCTGTCGAACTGACCCATTCGTGCTACAACCATTGTGTAGCTGCAGCGTGGCTCTACCACGTATGTGGCTCTACCACGTCTACATACATAATCGATAAATTAATAAAAGTAATATGATGTTAAGTGATTAAAAAGTTACTACGATACTTTAAAATATTTAAGGTAAACTGACAGTCGAAAAACGTGATATTAGACTCTGGTAGCACTGAAACTAAAAATAAAATATACCTAACTTTTTACATTAAGAAATTTACTTATCATATTATTTTCCAGCTCTTTAAAGAAGCTGAAGTATACTTTTCATTGGAAGGAGAGCGCTGGCAAGAAGACTATATATCACACGAACCCAAACAAGACAAAGTATCGGAGCACGCTCGGATCGTGCATATCGACCTGGAAAACCGCACCGCAAAACATGTCATGATGAAACTAAAGTTTCAACATGAATGGATACTAATTAGTGAAGTCACATTTAAGTCTGGTAAGTTACGTTTCAAACTAATCACTCGCAAATGCAGTTAAATACTACTGGAAGAACTTTAGAACCTGTCGGAGTAGCGACTTTACTTATACTTGTTAAAAAATAACTCTCTGGTTACATTGGCTAAATTTATTTCATTAAAATATGAATTATATCTTGTTATTTTTAATTTAAATTTAAATACAATAAATTCACTTCTGGATATAGGCATCTCATCAGGAAGGATTTGCTATAATCGCCATTTGACCCTGCTCCTTACCATTACGTACCGTATGATTTGTTTTAATTTATGGTAAAATGCACTTTAATAAACAGGTTCTCTTCTTGCATCCAACTCGACTCTCGACTAGAGGGAAACACATTGCCGATAATCTCGATTTTTTTATAGAATATGGGTAACAAACGATATATAACAGTCCACCTGATGGTAAGTGGTTGCTGTGGCCCATAGATATCTACATCTATCCTCTATTACAAATCATGCGTTGTCACCCATGAGGACTAAGATGGAGTGGCTCGTTTCCAGTAAAATGGGTCTACTTTCACGTAAATTGTGAATGCTCCATGCAGAATGTTCAGTTTCTGCAGAGCTCGATGCTTTAGCATTCTTCGAGCTTTTCACAATTTTTAAGAATGAGTGCCACAGTGAACGATTCATCTTTATACGATAAGTGACTAATCATCTTCTCGCATTGATATTCTCGCATGATCTTTCGAAATATGCTAGCTAGAGTTCATCTTCTTGTGTCAGCGTCCAAGTCCCATATATGTCATTATTTATTATTAGGTATTTTATTACCTACCACAATAACCCCATATCAGGATACAGAAACTAGTCTGCTAGGGAGGTATTTTTCTGGTAATATTCTCGACACCAAAGCTTCAGTGGGGCCCTTTACTTATCAAAACTAGCAAGTAGAATAAGCTCTGCAGCTTATGCTGTAAAAAATATTAGAATTACCGCTAGTGTCGGGAGAGCTAGATTAGTTTATTTCAGTTATTTCCATAGCATAATATCTTTTGGGAAATGCGTTTTATTAAGAAACTATTTATGTTTTGCAGAAGAGCGCCATTACAGCTATTTTCAACCTAAAATCAAGAGATTCTCTCAGAGAAAATATAAAATAAGTAAATAAATTTGACCTTTCCGTAAATTTACAAAAATATGTTGCTTGTTCACAAAAACAAAAGTAGTTTTAATAAAAAAGTTATATACATTCTATAAACACCAGGACCACAAGCTAGAGTGAGTCAGTGATTTTTTCATGGGGCAAAATATTCGCTTTTACAACAAAGTCCCAGAAGAAACACAAGGGCTCTCTATTACCAAATATTTTATTAAACCAAAACTGTATAAAAAGTGTTATTATAACATAAATTAATACATGGTTTATAATACCCCTGGGAATGAGATGGTCGCTTCCAAGTTGTTTCTTAATTAAGTTTTATAAGTAGTTTGTACAAGCTGTATTTATTACCTATATGATTTCACTTAAAAAAAAACATGTGTATAAAACAAAAACATATCACAGCAAATGATTTATTTAATTTGATTATTTTCAACCACAAGTGCGGCATAAAATATAACATTACATGCATTATTATTGCTGGCACGTATTATGCTTGTGCGCGACTAGTAGCCTTCGCGGAAGGCGTTGACACGTTTATAGAATATTCTAAGAAATTATTTCTAGAAAATATCCAGTTCTTAAATCCGATCATTCACCACAATATACTTTTTCTTTCGTGCTGATTTCCTACATCTGGGCTCTATTTGGAAATGTTCTGTTCATTCAGTTTTGTAGATATTGTAGTCTGACTTCGCTAAGTGTCGTCGTCGTGTAGTAGCTGTGCGTATATATCGTCACATTATTCTTCTCCCCGAGGTTTTCCTCTCTCTTTTGATACACTTTTAGCAGCATTAACTGCTCCTTGCTTTATTATAAGCAATTTCTTTTCGATGTTCTTATCTGAAACTAACAACTAACTAATATTTAGGTTTTTGTCCAGTTCAGAAGCATATGTGTCAAGTGTCATTTCGCTTTTAACTTTAACTTTGTCTCACTTTACCCTTTTTCTCCTCTTCCGAATTTCAACTATCACGATTTCATATATAAGGACACTATTACAAGAAAACGATCGATGCCACAATATGCTCCTCTATAAGTTCCGTTGTCTGTAATATTAGATACTCTTCCCGTGTGAACAAAAATGTTGTCTTTTTGGTTATAGAATTATCACCTAGGACCGCCTTATACATGTCTTTATAGGGAAATTTCGTTAGATTGATAAAAAAATATTTGATGACTGCAAAGTAGTGTAGCTTTTCGCCATTTCCAGTAGTGATATCAGAAGATATTACGGAAGATCTGTGTAGAGATCTGTGATCTGTTTTGTTAAAATAAATGAATTACACAATTAAAACTAATGAATATTAATTTGCCACATTCAGACACTAAGTACTTCGTAAAATATTTGACAACCAGACGAAAAACTATAAAATATTCCCATAGTAAAATAATATATTAATAACTTCTTTTAAATTCACGAATTTTCAATTATATTAATAAAGACCAAAATATTTTTTTTATTAATTTAATCTAATATTTTCAACATACAACTTATTAGATAAGTGAATTAGTCAGTTGTGCAGAAATCAGGCATGAGCAATTGATAGGTAGATATATATATATTCGTGCGATATATATAGTGTATATACATATATACACATACACACACATATATATATATATATATATATATATATATATATATCGCACGAACAAAATAAAAGCAACCAAAGGGAATAGGACACCCAGGCACAGTCTAATAGAACCATTACTTCTAATCGAACCTTATCTACACGAAGCACTCGCAGGAGCCCTGGGTTATTCCATAAATTTTCTTTCTCCAATTAATCACAGCTCTTTAGAGGAAATTACCTCCTAAGTGATAATCGGTGGCCGCGATACGAAGAACTCGTAATTAAAGAAGATCTTTGAACTGGATTGTTTCGCTACCTCTGTTGTGTTTTAGGCCGGCCACATACATACGGAATTCCGTTTCGGGATTCCGTTTCGATTTTCTGATTCGGGATTCCGAACGCAGCAAGTCCATATAAAATCTATGACCCGCCACACACGTACGTTATTTTTCCGTACGGAATTTCTCCGTTTCGAGATTCCGTATGACCGCCTGTGCATTCGGGATCCCGAACGGAAAAAAGCCGCTCCGAACGCACGTCTTCCATAGACTTTTTACGAGTCGCAACACACATACGTAAATTCCGTACGGAATGCGCTCAGTGTTCGTCGCACGACCGAAGCAAGTAGGCGTGTTTATGTTTGTTTTTAAATTTAATCTTGTAGGTGTATAGTTTTTCGTAACATTTCATCTTATTTTATTTAATAATTCGTCGAAAGAATTTACATACATAAATTTTTAAAAATATCTCTGGATAGATAGATTTTTTTACATAGTATTGACTATATTGCAAGCTTAGGGTGATAAGGAGATGCACCTAGTAAGAATGATACAGCAACAATGGAATCACAATTAGAAAATCGTCGTCATTATTCGCTGGCAGAATGTCTAGACTCAATGGCTAACCTCTCTCAACTGACCCTTGTTATTCCGAACGGAAAAAAAACGTATGTGTGTGGTGTATTCACGGAATCCCGATTCGGGATTCCGAAACGGAATCTTGAAACGGAATTCCGTATGTATGTGGCCGGCCTGAGGCATGTCGGGGCGCGTTGCCTACAATAATTTTTTTAACTTAATGACTGGAAATTAATGCTGACAAATTATACTAAACTAAAATTTATTATGATATTGAAATAAAGGTTATTCAAATAAGAGTCAACTTTCCTTCTCCTTTTGTAGTCACTGCAAAAGTTTTATTAAAGTGCCAACTTGTACTGTTTACTACCATAATTTAATTTAATTTTATCCGTAAATCAACTTCATTTTTATATGACATAGACGATACATGTGACTTTTATCTTATCTATATTCATCTCAAGACTTTGGTGGATCTATTGAGGTCATTGAGTATATTACTAAGATCCTTCAGCGATTCTACCATATTGACTATATCGTCGGTAAATCGAAAGTGAGTGACGTACTCGACTTCGACTTCGATGTTGATACCGTATCCTCTTCAGTGCTAAGCTTGAGAACGTCTTCCGTTACAGTGGCTTTTCACCACATTTGGGAATATAACGTAACCCTGTCCTACATCTGCAGTTAGATAGGTTTCGTGCCCTGGTTCTGTACTCGTAGAGTCATTGAAGCCTTACTGTATATAGCACCAATATAGCACCACCCATATTTTTTACTATTTACATTCGCAATACAAAGTGGTAGGTTGTACTCCTCTTTATTCTGTATGATTTGCTGAAGGGTGTGTGGTGTGTATTTATGTTACTAAAGCTTTTTTGAAAACAAGCTTCTCCCAAAGGTTTAAAATCATCAAAAATGCGTGCTATTCGTAATACCTCTCTAAAACAGCACGTAGACTCAGTTAAAAAGAGAAACCCGTTCGTAGTATACTTCAAAAGAGCGTTGTCGCCTTTCATGTAGGACAAGACCTCTGTATTTCGGCTCCCCACCTTCAGATCAGCGCCACCAAGGAGGATGGTTTTCTGATTTACTTTAAATACCGGTTTTACACCCGCTATCTGAAGCTTCACTATAACTCCATCCAAACACGAAGCATTGGCATATTTCTGTGTGGTAGAATTCCTAATAAAGTAACCAGTGTAACCTACATAGTCCAATAGATTAGTGAGCTGAAGAAATAATAGGCAAATCTTATAGTTGGTAAAACCAATAACTAATGGCAAAGAGACGTTCTCGATCGTGATTTGCGTGCATAATATAACCAACATAATTATAGATTTAAAACATTAATATTTTCGACCAAATATGTTTGAAGTGCCTTAAAACATGGCCTTTAATTTATTATACGATCTCTAGAAAATATAAAAACAACTACA